AAAAAAAAAAAAAAAAAAAAAAAAATTAACAGTGATTCCCCCTGGGGAATGGGAAGGAGAGTGGAAGGGATCAGGAAATAATACTTTCTGCTTTATACATCTCTCTCTTATTTGGATTTTTTTCCAGCCAGCGTGTATTTTTTTTTATATTAGAAAAACACAGAAACCTGTTTGGCATAATGAAAATACGACACATTGACTTGCTCTGTTGTTCTCTGGGTGGATTCTAATAAAGATTTTGACATAAGATTCTTAGGACCTAGAAGCTGATATTCAGAAGGAATTGTTTTCTAATCTCTATTATTTGCTTGATAAATTCTTACCAACAACAGTCTGGATTTCCTTCATTATTGCCTCTTCAACTGGGGGGTGCTTTGCAATGAGAAACAGCATGAAAAACACAGAGACGGACATGGTGTCTGGTGCTGCAATCAGCATTTCCAATACGCACTGGTTCACATTCTCTCTTGTCAGGTCACCACGTTTCTGAACAATTGAAAGCGGGAAGAAACATTGGCAACGTGAATGAACGGTTCAGAACAGGAGGGGAGGTGGCGCTCAAGGATTAATAACCTCAACAAAATGAAATCATAGAAATTATGTGTCTCTGTGTCTGATGATGGACATTTGCATTAACAATCTTCATCTCAAAGCTGAAGAACTTAACGAAATATCTATGTGTTCAGTGTCTTTGGATTCCCCAGTTTTCCTATTTTTATTGTGCAGAAACACAGAAGTTTCAGTCTTAAAGTTCAATCTTACCTGACTGTCTAATAGGGGGCTATTGGATTGGGCATTATAGAAATACTGGAGCATATAGTCAAAGCAGAAACATGCAACAGTTAACAGGAGAGAATTTTTAGACACTGATACAGTCATACACGTATGTTGTGTGGGAATTAGGGTCAGTTCAGGTCTGTACCTCAGCCAAAATCAACTCAGTGGTGAAATCCATTGAGTCTTCCAGTTTCTCTGCTATGAAAATCCTGCGTCTTTTTTTTTCTACCAGAATTTCCATTTCTTCTTTCAGCTCCTCGCTGGAAAAAACAGTGTAAATATTATCTACTTGTACACAGATATGACATCTAGATAAATGGATTTGTTTGCCATGTTTAAAAGTAAAATGATCTGCTTTAGTGGAAGCCATTAGTGCTCATGAATAACTGAATTTATACTTAATTCTTCACAAATATTCTTAAGTTACATATTATATCATGTTAAGGAACCAGAGTTAGCCCATGTATCTCGGCAGTGGTAGCAAAATCAAGGCTGTAACTGTAGTTAAGGGATGAAAACTGGTACCAAATGGCTAAATCCAATTATTGTTTTCTGCTATTTGATTGGGCCAGCACAGTGCTTAAGTTAAACATCAAAAACCAAAGCCAGTGAATGCCTTTAGTGGGAGCATGCACTCTCCAGTCTCCCACGGGCACCTCCATTTCCTGTGTCTTACATCCACCCAGCCCACTTTTATCTGCATAGTCTCGAAGACAATTGAGTTTGAGGTTCCTCTTCTACACAGGCAGGAAGTATTTTTCCTGATATTTATCTCATACCTTGCAGTTTCTGCCTCATAGTAACACTAAGTAAATATTTGTTGAACGAATGACTGTCTGCATCAATATACATATGCCTTTTGACAGTGTGCAGGAGGGAAAAACACCTTCGACAAAGGGTCAGGTTCTGGTCCAGGTTGTTGTCGTTCCACGTAACCTAGTTTAAGTCTCTGAGTCTTATGTCTCTTTTAAAGTGAAGGGATCAGGCTAGATGAACAATAAGGCCACCTTGAGATCTCAATTCTGTTATCTTTGACTTTGTCTTTAAGTGTATGCATTCACATATAATTGTATTGTTCCCCAATCTCAGGGAACAGTATTCTGTATTATGTTAAATGTACAGTAAATCTTTCTTTCAAATTCTTGTTGACACAGTTGCCTACACGCTTAAATACTCTGTTGACCTAAATAGCCTCTATGTTTACTTCAGTTCAACAGGAAAAGTAACAGAGGATTCTTTAAGATACCTCCTATCTTCAAAAGTTTTTTGGGGGGGCATCTCAAGGAAGATGTTTAAACATTCTGAGAGATATTCTTCAGGGTAGTATTTTCATTGTGTCATTCTAAATAAGGATGCCTACTATTGTTTATCTCTGTAAGTATGCTTTATAGGCGCGCGCACAAACACACACACACACTCACCATTCCAGACATACAGCAGGGATATATTCACGTTTATTCATTTACCTACCCATCCATTTGTTCAGCAAATATTTGTTGAGTATCTCCTACATTTATTCAATAGTGGGCTAGAATGCTCATAGCATTCCTACCTAAGCAGTGGCTCCCAAATGGCCTGGGATGTGTTGAAATGCCCCTAGACTTTGAATTCCCAGAGAATTTCTTGATGGAGCTGCATCCACTTCTAAGCATCTCCTTCCTCCCTGGGCCAGAATCAGGGGCCTGTGAATATCCACTGGGATTCCTCCTATTCAGGTTAAAATTTGCTTCTGCTTAAATGTATGTATTTGAATTTGTATGTCATTAAAAACTAGGAGAATTGAGTTAAATGTCAGTTTACAGGAAATAAGAAGTCTCTGACTTACAAATTATATTGCAAGAATTCCTCTGTTTGTACGAAAATAATGGTGGCTACGTTCCTAGTCCAAGCCACAAACACTTATTTAATGTATTCTGAGACTGAAAAACCTACATTTGACAAAACAAAAAGTAGAAAACAGTACTGTGCTAATATTGGGAATTCAAAGAGGGAAAAATATAAAATTGAATAAATAGAGATGGAAGTAGATGTCCCAGAAACCTTTACATAAATATATTTTTTAAAATATTGGTATGAAAGACAAATTCTATATGATCTCTCTTATATGTGGGATCTTAAAAAAACAATAACAAAAGGAGAAATCCCAACCTCAGTTTTACAGGAAGAGATTGGTGATTGCCATGAGTGCTGGGGGTAGGTTGGGTGTGAAATGTGTGAAGGGGGTCAAAGGTACAAACTTCCTTCCAGTTATATGATCAATAAATCATGGGGATGTAATGTACAGCATGATGTCTACAGTTAATATACAGTATTGCATATTTAAAAGTTGCTAAGAGAGTAGATCTTAAAAGTTCTCATCACAAGGAAAAAGTTTTGTAACTATGTATGGTAAAAGATGTTAACTAGATTAATTGTGATGAACATTTCTCAATATATTCAAATATTGAATCAGGCTGTACACCTGAAACTAACATAATGTTATATGTCAATTATGCCTCAAAAAAAGTATCAGCATTATTGCAATGGACTGCAGGGGAAGGAGATTAAAAGATTTCTTTAGGTTTTTACTGCTCTAGATCAGAGGAGATAGTACATAGTGAACTAACCATTGGCAAATTTATATAGAGAGGGAATGTTGTTGAGATAATTTTAAAGAAACCAAAGAGAAACTGTTATACAGTCTCATGCAGTAAGTTTCTATGGGCCTGCTGACCATACTGAAGCTAAACTAATGACCAAGTTTAACTGCGGACCAATAAGACTTTTGAGACGACCACAAATTCTGACAGCAGTGAAGAGATGAACCATTTATCTTACCGATTCAAGTCACAATAAACTCCGGTAGAAACAAAGAGAAATGTTTAAAGGACCAGGTGTCCAAATCATCCACCTAATACTCATCATCCGCTTGAAATACATAAAGCAACATCAAGCTGACTACCTGGAGACTAATACTACTGAATTTCAAAACACGCAAAGAGGATGAAGTTAGCTCTTCAAACAACTTTGGGAAATTATAGAGATGGAGAATTTAAGATAGTCAGGGACATCTGGGAAAGATATGAACAGAGGGATGGGGAAAACTAACATGTTTATTGCCTACTATGTGTCATGCTTTGTGCTGATTGCCCTTCATAGAGGATCTCATTAACCTGTATCGCCACCACGGAGGGTATGTTATATTTTACTTTGAAGAACTTCCCAAGGACATTTGGTTACTAAGTGGTAGAGGTAGGATACAAACCAGGTCTGTCTACCTTTAGATCCCCTGTGCTTTCCACTGGTGGTTAGAGGTGGCATGTATACTGGCTGGCTACTTACACTCTGAAAACCATTGATTATCCAGTAGGTCATTGGGCATTTGTCTAGTCTTCTGCTAGACTAGTCTGACACCAAAGCAAAGCCATTTAATGACAGTTTTAGGATCCCCCAAGATATAAGATGCATAACTAAACAAACAACACGTCTTAAAAAAGTTCATCATGAAAAAAATTCTCTTACAACTACTGTCAATTCTGACAAATTGAATTAAGTTAAATTCATTCAGAAGCAACACAACAATAAAATGATTTATGTTTCCATTTTTCCAGACATGCAAAGAGAATTTTGACTAATGATAAGGATAGGTTCAGCCAACCCTTCTCTTCAACTCAAAATACACAGCAGTGTCCTAGTTCCAGAGATGGAGCTCTCAGCCTCCTAGGGGAAAACTGCCCTGGGCCAAAGTCTTCCTTTCCTCTGTGGTCTGGCCACATGCTGCCAAATTGCTGTAAGAAGTGTTTCACCGGCAACTTAACAGCTCCCTTGCGGTCTGGAGAGGAGAAAGCTTGCCGAAGAGGCCAGCAATAACTAAGACACAACACAGATCAATCCAATCTCAGCAATAAATATTCCAAAATATGTTACTTACACAGACTTTTCATACTTTGTGCGTAGCCAAGAAATCTTAAAGAAGATGTCTGGTTTGAGAAGGAGAGCTTGCCATGCATCAAAATAACCCTGGATTTTAACCACGATGGCCCTTTCTGGAAAAACAGAAAAAGATCAGAACAGATGAGCAAAAATGTGAGCCCAAGAATGGTACACTGCTCAGAGAAGATCCCCTGTAGACTCTCCTACCATCTGGGACTCTAAGCAGGTCAAGGTTCCACCTTCACTGGGTGTTTCAGCCAGGGGAATGCCACTAAACAAATCAACACTAATTTATTCTGCTTGGCATCTAAACTGGCCACGTTAACCAGAGATTTGCCAGTTTTCAAGTTTGTGCTAGAGACACAGCCTAGAATCTCACACGCTTCTCCATGGCTGAGCCTCCAACTCCCTTCTGTTTACCTGACCGTTTGAAATGAGAAGTAATTAATGCTGTTATGGCCTCAATTCTGGTGCCTGGAAAGGCAAAAAGCCTCCCCACTCTGTTTATATTTCAGTCCAGAGTGTAGAATTCATCTTGGAATCTTCAGTGCCTTGTCCTGAGTCTTGTGCACAGTCAGATCTTAACGGATGTTCTTGAATTAAATTGAATACTAGAGAAAAGAAAACCCCTGCTTTTTTCAAATTACACACAAGAGAAGGGAAGAGACATGAAGATGCAGAAACTGCAGTTCATAGAAATGAAGAAGCTTGCCCAACGTCATACAGCCAGAGTGGCAGGAAGTCCCTAGGCTGGAGCTCGATTCTGTCTGACCTCAGGGCCATGTCCTTTCCTCTTTGGTGCACTGAGTCCCTCAGGCCAAATGAGAGTTTAACAAGGACCCGGTGAGCAGAGGGAAATACACATAAGTCTGTATGGGTTATGAAGGTTCTTAGACCGCAGTCTGCATCCATAAGTTAACAGAGAGCTGTACAATTCCCTTTACTTGATCCCTCCTAAGAGTCAAGGCTAGTGGGGAACCAAAGAGCAGGGACTTCTAAAATAGGTACCTGTCATATCTTAGGAGAGATGTACATGGAACAGGCAAACAGGACTTTCAGAGTCCCTGTGTGAAAGGGGATAAGGCAAGAGGCTGTGACTTTCAGAGTGAATGGGGCTCCCATCCTAATGTCAATCAGATGGGGTTCCTATGACTCTGGTAAGGAATCATTAAAGAGCCGGGGAGATGAGGCGAGGAGAGTGGAGCGGAGAAAGGGAGGGCTTATCGCTTGTCTGCTTGTCCAAATGTGGTCAATCAGGGAGCAGGTGTGATAGCTCAGCCGGTTTGGACAAGTGTGAAACTCGTGCCTTGTTCTTGTGCCTGTGATGTTCTTCCTTCAGATCTGCACATGGCTCATCGTCACACTTCATCTGGGCTATTTTCAGACATTCTCTCCACAGAGGCCTTCCTGACCACCCTTTGTCTCCACAAGAGCTTCAGCCTCCCACTGACCTCCCCCTTCACTTTCTAGCCCTTTGCTCTACTTTTTTTTTTTGAGGTACGCGGCCCTCTCACTGCTGTGGCCTCTGCCATTGCGGAGCACAGGCTCCGGACGCGCAGGCTCAGTGGCCATGGCTCACGGGCCCAGCCACTCCGTGGCATGTGGGATCCTCCCGGACCGGGGCACAAACCCGTGTCCCCTGCATCAGCAGGCGGACTCTCAACTACTGCGCCACCCGGGAAGCCCTGTTTATTTAAGGCACTTATTATAGCCTAATATATTACTAGATAGTTAGTTGTTTACTGTCCATATACCCACTAGGATGTAAACTCTTTGAAGGCAAGGACTTCGTCTTGTCCAACTGGTCTATCCCCAGAACCTAAGTCTGGCATAAAGTAGGCAATCAATAAATATTAGTTGAATGAATGTATGAATCAATGAGCATTGCTAGAAATCAAGTCAGGAGAAATTACATTAAGCTGACAGCAGCAGAATGGAATGAATCCACATGATTAATGTTTGTTCTTTTGTTGGCGGTAGAGTTGCATGTATGTGTTTAATATTTGATTCTGTAATATAGTGAGGAAAGCAGTTTCTTGAGTGAGACATCTTGCAAGGATTGTTATAAATGCTAAGTGACAAAGTTTATGTGAAGCAAGTTTTTATACTGCTTGGCACATAGTAGATACTAAATTTATGTTAGTTATCATCATCATTTCCAGCAGCCTCAGTACCCTTATCATCATATAGAATCAAAATTTTCATACTTAGTGGCTTTGAGGGAGAGGTGTGTATGTACATTTATGTGTGTGTGTAGATATATGGAATGTGTCTATGTGTTTGTGTGTGTATATATATAACTATACATACATATATACACATATATATGTCTATATCATGCCCAAAAGAATGGTTGGTAATGGTTAAATACATAGGTTTGGTGGTAGGATATATTTATGACCAAATCAAATGATCACATCTGTTAAGTTTCAGCTGTGGGTAGAATCCTATTTTCTAGAGCAATGAAGAGAGATACAAAAGAAATAGAAGATGGCCCCTGCTGTGGATTTTTATGACCTTATAAGTGAACAAGGCAGACATACCAGGAAAAATATTTGGGAATACTTAGAAGGGTTTAAAGAAGAGCAGTATGCAAAAGAACATATCTTTGCTTGAGTCCGTTATCCTTCTTCTCATGCCCTGTTTAATACAGGGCTGAATGTCAAGTCATAAGAATGAAAATTTCAGGGCTTCCCTGGTGGCGCAATGGTTGGGAGTCCACCTGCCGGTGCAGGGGATGCGGGTTTGAGCCCTGGTCCGGGAGGATCCCACATGCCGCGGAGCGGCTGGGCCGGTGCACTGCAGCTGCTGAGCCTGCGCTCTGGACTCCACGGGCCACAACTGCTGAAGGCCACCTGCCACGGCTGCTGAGGCTTCCGTGCCTGGGGTCCGTGCTCTGCAGCAGGAGAGGCCACAGCAATGGGAAGCCCGTACACCACAATGAAGAGTGGCCCCTGCTTGCCACGGCTAGAGGAAGCCCGCGCACAGCAACGAAGACCCAACACAGCCAAAAAAAAAAAAAAAAAGTAAATAAATATATTTTTTAAAAAAGTGAAAATTTCAGTACCGTTCAAGGGGATCCCCAGGAAGAGCTTGTTAGAGGTGTCCAGCATGATGCACCGCACGAGGGTCAACACATCCACATAGCCCGACTCGTTGCGGACCTCCTCCAGCCTGTCCAGATGCTTGGTGATGGAATCAGCACAGACGGTCACCGTGCGCACCAGGCTGGGGCCAGACAAAGCTGAAGGGTACACGTCAGAGTGAGCCGCCTCCAACTCCAGGGCACACAAACTATCAGGCAATTTTGGCTTTTTATGTTTGGAGCTTAACTGACGACAAATTTTTATTCAGTAAATGGGTGGAAATTTTCATATTCTTTTCA